CTGTCGTGAGACGAGTCCAGGCTAGGTTCACCACACGTACCAGGCTAGGTACACCACACTCGCTAAATAACCTCACCATCATGGACATCATACACTGACTCACACCACCACTGACTCACTCACACTACCACTGACTCACTCACTCATCATACACTGACTCACACTACCACTGACTCACTCACACATCATACACTCACTCACTCACACTACCACTCACTCACTCACACATCATACACTCACTCACACATCATACACTGACTCACACATCATATACTGACTCACTCACACATCATACACTCACTCACACTACCACTGACTCACTCACACATCATACACTGACTCACACATCATACACTCACTCACACATCATACACTGACTCACTCACACATCATACACTCACTCACACATCATACACTGACTCACACATCATACACTGACTCACTCACACATCATACACTGACTCACTCATACATCTGTAATAAGAGCCTATGTCGGATTCACGTGGTGATCGGCTTCGCCAGTCCCGCTTTACAGCCAATGGGGGGAGAGCCTGGGAGAATGGCCTCGGCGTGATCACGGGATGTCAGCTAGGTGATTGGTTTCGTTGGTCTTGGCCTCAGCCAATGGGAAGACAAGTCAGGGGCGTGGTCCCGGGAGTTGATGGGGAATCTGGAACATTCGGCACAGGCTATTGAGGATTGGCTGGAGTGTACCACGTGACCCAGGCATTAAATAAGAGGAGAGAGGAGAGACACGTGGTCAGACACGGAACGAAGAGAGAGAGGGGCCACGTGCGAGTGGGGCTCCGGGTGCCACGTGGCGGTGTGTCTCTGGTGGCTGTCTGCCCGCTTCCCGTTGCCTGCCAGCAACGGGGAGTGTTTGTGAACTGCAAGAAGTGAAATAAAAGGACCGATTCCACAAGCCGTCTCCAGCGTGTTATTACATTGGAGTCAGAAGTTCTTCTGGGACCGTTTGGACGATCTTCAAGATGTCCAAGCACCTCAGAAAGAAGAACCCACCCGACCCTCCATCGGAGGAAGTTGTGGAGACGGACGACAACGATCTGCTGGGAGCTACGACTCCTCTGCCTCCGGCTACCGCTCTCCTCGCCGCCGCTCATCGCCCACGGGAGGAAGAGGCAACCACCTCAAGGGCAGACGAAGGATGGCGGCTGATGGCGGAGCAGATCGAGTCGCTCCGTGCGATTCTGCTCAATCTGGTGACGGCGGTCACGTCCTCTACGGGCCTGGGTCGGCCGCCTGCGGTTCAGCTCAATGCCGAAGACCAGGATCTTCGGCGGGAAACGACGTCCGCCATTGCTCCTGCCACACGAGGGGAGGCCTCTATCTTGGGCGGGGCAGCGGCGACGGAGCCTTTCGACGCCATCTTGCGCGAGGCTGCCACCACATGGCCGCCGGACGCCATTTTGTCGGAGACGCGCAGAACGTGGGAAGTGCAAGTGGAGACGCCCGCGGCGTCTGCCTGCCACCGCGGACATCGGCTTCCACAGATTAAGGAATTTATCGCCGGGAGCGATTGGAGTGCTTTTACGTGGCGCTTCGAGGCGGCCTTCAGATCCGTGCGATGGACGGAGGCGGAGGCGCTGGAAGCACTGCCCACGCTGCTGGACAATGTTTCCCTGGCGATCTTCCGATCCATCCCGGCGTCCAAAGAGAAGATGCTTCGGGATGCTTTCGCAGAAATGGTGGAGTTTTATGACCCGCCGACGGCAGCCACGAGGAAATTTATGTCACGTCGTCGAGGATCGGAGGAGTCGCCCTTGGCTTACCGGGGGGCGCTGGTGGTGTTGGCCATGGCCGCTTACCCCGACTTGATGGCTGATCACCTCGATCCTCTCATCCTTTCCCGTATGCTGGAGCTCTCCCAGGAACTCAACATCTCGCTGCCGGTATGCGGCCACGAACCGCTTACATCGCGATGGGTGGCGCGCTGCTTGGACGCTAAATTTAACATCAAGCGCTGGGATCAGATGGCGGCATGGACGGGGAAACCCGAAATCGACGGCCCACCTTTAGGGTGGTCTCCACGACGGGTCGTCCACTGCTCCGACGACTCCGGCGACGACGAGGTGGTGGCTGCTGTTCTGCACTGGATTCCGAGACGGCGGCTGCGCGACCAGCGTGGTGACTACGCAAGCCGACCACGTGCGGGGTCCGGGTCGATCGACCGCCGGCCGACGACGGCCACGTGCTTCAAGTGTGGCCGACGAGGCCATTTTGCCCGCGACTGCCGCTGCCGACCTCTGCCTTCGCCGCTTCCGCCGAGTGGGCCTCCATCTCCTCCACCGGGCGCGGAGCCGCGACACCCTCGGGCGAGTCGGCGCAAATCGGACACCCAGCAGGTCGTGTCACATCGTTCATCCACTCGCACGCATAGTTGCACTTCCAATGATAATCGTGATTCTTCGGTGTCATTACCACGCTCGACTACACAATAGAAAAAATTAGCTCGTAGGTTTGTGGCTGCGGCGTCGGGTTCGTCGACGGTACGGGGTACCATCGACGGCATCGACGTCCGTATTTTGGTGGACACTGGCGCGTCTGCCACCATCATTTCAGATGTTATTTTTCATCTTTTGTCTATTTCCACGTCGCGAATCCGCCGGGTAGCATGGGTATTTTCGGTCAAGTCGATGTACGTATTGCTATCGGTAATATTACCGCCAAAGGATCGGTGTTGATCTCGCGCTCACTGGCCGTCCCATGCCTATTAGGCACCGATTTCTTGCGCCGCATGCCACTGAAGATACTGGTCGACCAGGATTGTTTAGAAATGCTGGGGGGTCGTAGGATGTCGTTCCTGCCTTCCCTGCTGGCCCGTTCGCCGCATGGTAACACTGTTAACGCCATGGTCGCTGCCACAGTAGAAGTTACATCAGGCTCACAAATGCTTATCCCGCTGCGTTACCGTAAACCCCTTCAGGTTAAGGATGGTACGGTGGGTGTGTTATTATCCCCGTCGAATTCGGTGTCTAAATCTTTTTCCTTGGTGGCAGCCCAAACGATCATACGGCCGGGTCAGGTCCCGTTCATACAGGTGTTGAATGGAGGGCCAGAACAGGTCGTTGTCCTGGCTGGATCGGTATTGGCTTACGCCACTACCGACTTCGCCACTTTTGACGGAAAGCCACAAATTAAAAGACCCACCGATGGACCGCCACGCGATCGTTCACAGGAACGGTGGATCGCGGACTTGTGCGGGGAAAATTCATCTTTATCAAACGCGCAGAGGACTGCTTTACATTCGTTGTTATTACAGTACGCTGACGTTTTCAGTAAAAATGATTTGGATCTCGGCCGTATGTCGCTTTTGTCGCACCATATTGACACCGTTGCGACACCTCCGATTTGTATGCATCCGCATCGAATGAGCCCTGCAGAAAGGGAACACGTGCACGGCGCGGTAGACGAGATGTTGGCGGCGGATATTATTTCGCCGTCCAACAGTCCGTGGGGCGCGCCGGTAGTACTGGTTAAGAAAAAGAATGATGGGACGAGATTTTGCGTCGATTTCCGCCGGTTGAATAAAATATCCGTGGTGGACGCATACCCTTTACCACGGATGGATGACTCATTGGACAAGCCGTCTCCAGCGTGTTATTACACATCATACACTCACTCACACATCATACACTGACTCACTCACACATCATACACTCACTCACACATAATACACTCACTCACACTACCACTCACTCACACATCATACACTCACTCACACATCATACACTCACTCACACTACCACTCACTCACTCACACATCATACACTGACTCACACTACCACTGACTCACACATCATACACTGACTCACTCACACATCATACACTCACTCACACTACCACTGACTCACTCACACTACCACTGACTCACTCACACATCATACACTCACTCACACTACCACTGACTCACTCACACATCATACACTCACTCACACATCATACACTCACTCACACTACCACTGACTCACTCACACATCATACACTCACACATCATACACTCACTCACACTAACCCTGACTCACTCACATCATACACTCACTCACACTACCACTGACTCACTCACACATCATACACTCACTCACACTACCACTGACTCACTCACACATCATACACAGGGAGTGTCATGCTGCCAGCTATGGCTGCAAGTTTGGTCTTACATGTTATGTTTCTCGTTTCTTGTTAAATTTTGAATCACAGTTCCTATGATTACTGCTGTTACATTGTTTTCATAGCTTCATTTTGGTGAGTCGAAAACATATGGTTAAGGTTTTAATACTTTTTATTTGTAATACTTGCTGCTTTATTCCGGGGTGTTTCGTCGCTTTAAGATGTTCTCTGTTCATATTTTGTTTGTTGCGATTGCCCCCGACTTAAGAGCTCACAAGGCGATACCTCGTCAATGAAACTTGAAACGTGAAACCAGGCCAGGTTCACCACACGTACCAGGCTGGGTTCACCACACGTACCAGGCCGGGTTCACCACACGTACCAGGCTAGGTTCACCACACGTACCAGGCCAGGTTCACCACACGTACCAGGCTCGGTTCACCACACGTACCAGGCCAGGTTCACCACACGTACCAGGCTAGGTTCACCACACGTACCAGGCCAGGTTCACCACACGTACCAGGCCAGGTTCACCACACGTACCAGAGTAGGTTCACCGCACGTACAAGGCCAGGTTCACCACACGTACCAGGCCAGGTTCACCGCACGTACAAGGCCAGGTTCACCACACGTACCAGGCCAGGCTCACCACACGTACCAGGCCAGGTTCACCACACGTACCAGGCCAGGTTCACCACACGTACCAGGCTAGGTTCACCACACGTACCAGGCTAGGTTCACCACACGTACCAGGCTAGGTTCACCACACGTACCAGGCTAGGTTCACCACACGTACCAGACTAGGTTCACCACACATACCAGGCTAGGTTCACCACACGTACCAGGCTAGGTTCACCACACGTACCAGGCTA